TGAACTCGCCTTTCTAGATTGTAAGGTCATCATACTGGAGAACGGACAATTAGAGACTGAGGTCTTCAGAAAGTCCACTCACACTGACCAGTACTTGGCCTTTGATTCAAATCATCCGCTACAACACAAACTCGGGGTGATTAGAACGCTTCAACACCGAGCCCACCAGGTCCCCACTAGCTCGGAGGTAAAGAACAGAGAAACCAAACATGTTCAGAGAGCACTTTCCAGATGTGGCTACCCCAAGTGGTCTTTTACTAAAGCCCAAAGGACGAGAAAGGCCAGAGACACAGTCCAACAGACAGAAGAGAGTAGGAGGAGAGGGGTGTCCTTACCGTATGTGGCGGGAGTTTCAGAGAAACTACAAAGAATCTTTAGGCAACACAAAATCCCTGTGTATTTCAAACCTTTCAACACGTTAAGTCAGAAATTAGTGCATCCCAAAGAAAAAACACCCAGACACAAACAGAGCAATGTGGTGTATTCAATTAAATGTAGTGAAGAGGAGTGCACTGACCACTATATTGGAGAAACCAAACAAACTCTACAGAAACGACTTTACCAACATCGTAGAGAAAACTCTAGTGGGCCACAGTCGGCTGTTCATCTCCACCTCAAGGCCTCCAACCACACGGTGGATGACACAGAGGTTAAAATTCTGGCTCGGGAGAAGAATTGGTTTGAGAGAGGGGTGAAAGAAGCCATTTTTGTGAGGAAACAAAAACCTTCTCTTAACAGAGAAGGAGGGTTAAGATTTGTTTTGCCTCGCATCTATGACGACATCCTAAAAACAACGCCCTAACTTGGGACAAGGTCAGTGACATGCTAATGAGTTAGGGTCGTTAGCCTCAGCAGGGTCGTTAGACCTGCTCCCTTCTACATCCAACAGACCTTAGATTGTTTATGAGTTAGTATCAGGATTAGGGTGTGGCTAACCACACCCATAGATTATAAATCTCCAACGCGCGGTCCGAGAATTCATTCCCTGAAGAAGTCCGCTGGTTTGAGGACGAAACGTCGGGAAAACTTGCTAAGAAGTACAGATGATGGGTGAGAAACCTTCCTTTGCATTGAGTTCTATGGGACTTTTTTCTGGGTAGCACTCGTGAATTACCACAGGCGCCCTGTGCCCATGGGTGGGACAGCTATAAGCTAGTAATACCCTATCCAGTTATTATTATAGATCCATGGACCAGACACACAGTTCAAATTCATGTTGCAAATCATCGGAAGGTTTTTCTGTCAGGAGGGTGGATTATCTAAGCACCAGTCCTCCTGTGGACTCACCACCTGCAGAGGGTCAGTGAGGGGCTGGTGCTATGAGACTTGGGTGGCATCTCTGACTGCCACCCCCCTGACCCAGAAATGGATTAAAGGGTAGAAAATGGATGGATGGATGGATGGATGTATTTTGTACACATCAACAGGAGGACTGGGGCTGGAGGATTAAACCTTGAGTGCAACTTTTGGATGGTTGGGGAAACAGGAGCACCCAGAGGAAACCTACCTAGACACAACCTTATTGCTGAGAAGAATGACCCCCACTCAGTCTCTGGCTCATCTCAAACTGATCAAATTTGAAAACGTTTTGGTGATGAATTAATGGATACATTAGGGCTTGAACTGTTTGATACTTGGATCTGTTTTTGGCAAATCTACAACTTCATAAAGATCAAGAAGCCTGCTATGGTGATTTAGGCCAATACCAAAATACATTGAAGTGTTCTTGCCGATGCAGGAGGCTCTAACGTAAGGACAGATTCAGATTCATTTATTTGCCATTTGCAGTAAAACCACATTGGAATACATTTGCAAAAGTCCCCAGTGTCGCACACAACAAGTACATGAATAAAAACATTAAAAGTACAGAAGTAAAATACATTTAAAACTGCAGGAAACAATTGACACTGTGAAATCGATCAACAAAAATAGTTTTAATACATGCACGACCATTAAAGTGCTCTGTAAAGAAGCTGTTAGCATAACGAGATGTCCTGCATCTCAGCAAACAACGTCTGCCCCAGGAAGAAGCTGGATCATGCTTTTCCAGCGGCCAGAAGAATCATTGGTTGAGGTGATGATCCAGGACACTCAACATTTATCAACGTTTTTTTTTTACATTTATGGACATTGGTCATCTGCCCCTTGTTGACCAAAAAACCAATGTGTTTTTAATCACTACATTTCTTGTGTTTGAACGGTTTAATTCTCTGATCTGTGTCGGCAAATTCAGCGGTTTTGAAAAGTCCTCCGAGAAAACTACTGTTGTGATTTAGGACTAAACAATAATGAATGGAATTGAATTGAATTAAATGAAACTGCCGATAGACGAATCACACAGCATTATTTTCGACAGGAGTTAAACTAAACTAAACTAACTTGTATTTTCATGCTTCAGTCAGAGACATTGCTGAAAAGTTGATAGCATTTCAAGAATGTTGCTCCGGCTGAAGAAAAAGACTCCGGGGTTGTTGTCTCAGCTTAAATAGTTGAGTTTCTTTTTCCACAAACACACAATGCTCAGGTTGACAGCACAGAAGACACTCCAGGCCGCTGCAATGGACGTGTTGGTGATTTTGTGTATGATTTTTGGAAGTTTAGAGGCTGGTTATTTTGGATTGACGGCCACTCACTACCCAAAAGATATTGGGGGAGAGGAATCCCAGGTAGGTGTGCATCTTTCATATTCTTTCATGCATAAATTATGATAGGCTTCTTCAAGATTTTTTATTACGCATGAAAAGACATAAAATATTATCATTTTGAAAAAAAACATGAATTCTCCATGGAGTTGGTGACACGTCCACAAGGGTGGACAACGTGCATTTGAGTCACGGAATAAGAATACAAAACCATAGGATATTTTGATTTTATCTTTAGCATTGTATTTTTCTTGTTTTAACACATTCAAAAACTGTAAAATGTGTTGTCCGAAACATAAACCAAAGAAAAACACATTTGTTGCACTGACTAAATGACTGAAATACTATAATGAACTTGGCTGGTACTAATCAGCATAGAACTAAGACAAGACTTTCACATCTTCATAGGCGTGTGCATCTGAGGTATTTGAGAATGACATTAACAAATGAATCCCTAGAAAGTTCTTCAGTTCACTCAGTGTAATGCCCAGTAGTTATTTTCCATTCCACAGAGGTCTGAGTTGTCCATTATATCATCAATCAGCTCATTCGCAATTTGATGATTGAAAAATGTATTGGGGCTCCTCCCTCAATCTTGACCTACTACTCTCCTAAAAGTAAAGAGTAGATTGTCCCTCAAACTTATTATCTTTGGCTTTGAAGATGTGTCTGCTATATCTATATTTTTGAGTTTTTGAGCTTGGTCAAGCTCAACAGCACCATCTCCCTCATCCTCTAAATATAACCTCAATTTTCACAGCATCTTCTTCTTCTACATCTTCAACTTCACTGTCACAGCTGTTACCATTTACTAATTGGTGACACGTCCACAAGGGTGGACAACGTGCATTTGAGTCACGGAATAAGAATACAAAACCATAGGATATTTTGATTTTATCTTTAGCATTGTATTTTTCTTGTTTTAACACATTCAAAAACTGTAAAATGTGTTGTCCGAAACATAAACCAAAGAAAAACACATTTGTTGCACTGACTAAATGACTGAAATACTATAATGAACTTGGCTGGTACTAATCAGCATAGAACTAAGACAAGACTTTCACATCTTCATAGGCGTGTGCATCTGAGGTATTTGAGAATGACATTAACAAATGAATCCCTAGAAAGTTCTTCAGTTCACTCAGTGTAATGCCCAGTAGTTATTTTCCATTCCACAGAGGTCTGAGTTGTCCATTATATCATCAATCAGCTCATTCGCAATTTGATGATTGAAAAATGTATTGGGGCTCCTCCCTCAATCTTGACCTACTACTCTCCTAAAAGTAAAGAGTAGATTGTCCCTCAAACTTATTATCTTTGGCTTTGAAGATGTGTCTGCTATATCTATATTTTTGAGTTTTTGAGCTTGGTCAAGCTCAACAGCACCATCTCCCTCATCCTCTAAATATAACCTCAATTTTCACAGCATCTTCTTCTTCTACATCTTCAACTTCACTGTCACAGCTGTTACCATTTACTAATTGTCTTTTGTCTGATGAAATTCTTCATTATTCCCACTAACATCACCCTCACTTGAGTCAGATGGTAGTTCCTGGACTGTCCTCTAGGCTTTTCTATTCCGCTCTGCCCCAACCGCTACAAAACACATGGAAAAGGGTCATTATTCTCATGATATGACTAATATTCACAAGATGTAATATATATCAAATAATGTAATTTATTTGCAGCCAAAACTATTCAAAATGAAGTATTTCCAGAAACAACAAAGTAGCAGCAACACTATGCACTGTATTCAAAATGTAGCCAGTGATGCACAACGTCCACTTTGGTGGACACATGATTCATTGCAATTTCCTCAAAACAGAAAATCAATACTTGGGTTTTTTGACAATTATACGGCTCCTTAGATGTTACTTGACGTGCACATACTCTTTTTACCTGCTAAACCTTTCTAGAATATAATGTATGAACAGATTTTCCTCCTCCACTAAGCATATTTTCTATTTTGTCGGCCATCTTTCTTTGAGAGTTTTTTTTCTACCTTTGTATGTTTACCAGTCTGTAGCAGTGCATATGACAGGACATACCAGGGTCCACTATAGTGACTAAAGTGCAACTGTGACTTTAAAACTCACACATGGAAGAAAACAATTATTGAGTAGCTGTCCACTGTAGTGACCACCATGTATGAAAGTGTTAAGTTTTATAAAGATTTTCTGGGCCAATGGAGTATGTTGTGTTGATTAATTATCATGTGTGTGCTTGTATAGGTTGACTTACGTTATACGATCACAGATGACTCGTGCATAACTCCTGGTTTCCAATGGAGCACAAGCTGGGAAAGAGAGACATTTTTACCTTACGAGAACGCAAGCTTGATAAATATTTACGCGGCGTATGACCCCCTGTGTCAAGATGAGTTCGTCGAAACCCTTCGGCCATCTTCTGCTTCATACAGTATGTGGTAAGTTCTGGGCTTGTAGAGTTCCATCAATGATAATCACTTTCTTAGTATGAACAGCAAATCAAATCAGTGCTTGTATAGAGCCCAAAATCCCAGGAAGAAAAAATACACAATGAAAACAATGCTCAGAGAACACGAGTTAAATAAATACATTTTTCAGTTCTTACACTGCAAAAAATTGTAAATGATACAAATGTAAGTACATTCTGACTGTCTTAAAGCAAGATTTGCTAATGGGATAAAGCCATTTAATCAGATTTCTGGTTTCCCATTCACATTTTGACAAATTTGAGACATCTTTGTTTTATTTTTCATTACTTTTTGCAGTGAAAGCCTATCATGCGACATTTACTGACTGAGTTTAATATCTTTATTCTTTATTTATATTCTATTCATATACAGTATAGTCAACCTTGTTTGAAGTGCTCTTCATAACTAACTCGACTCTGGAAATGTTACAAATGTAGTGAAGCATTTCCAGTAAAGATTCCAGAACAGAATGTTCTGCGATGGATGTGTAAATGTGTTAAACTTCTAGTGTAAAAACCTGATTTTCCTGATGAACTCGTGAGATCTGATGAAGCCCAACTCTACTTCAAAATTTGATGCAAAAGATAAACAATTGCTCATTAACACATACTCACGTCAAAACCTCTGTAGAACTGTCTTCTGCCTGTACCTACAGGGTCACAGACGTTGCAGTCCGCTGGGTGAACAACCAGACCATTAAAGCCTTCACTCAGATGGATCTGAGAAGACGCTCTGACACGGGAAGAGCCAACTTCCCCCCTCAGGCCACCATCATGTCGCCCGTGCGGTGAGACTTTGACTAGATTTGACCCACTTTTCCAATGATTGTTTATAAAGTTGTGGATGGATCTGCAGCCCCCATCAGCCTCTCTCTATCACAGATCCATCAGATTTATAGTAGAAAACAGGAGTGATGGGACTTTCCTCACTCCTCTGGCGCCTGGTGTTCCCAGTGCACTCTAAACACACATTGGTCGTAGAAACCGGTTTGGGATAGAATTGATAAATAATGGTCATTAACCAATTGGTCAGAGATGTATTAATCTGTTGTTTGTGGGCTAAATCTCATTGAATAAACTGATAATGATTGTATTGACCAATATATAGGTCAGAATGATTCATCTGTATCAGATCAGTATTAGATTTAAGCACTAATCGTTCTCTGCACTGCTCACCTCCTGAGATCTGACAAAATGGCTTTTACAAACCGTATCAATCAATCAAACTTATTTGTAACACAACCTTACACACGGCAACACAATCCTCTTCACAGTAGATTCCTGTCACCAGATTTTAGCTGCATAATTCTGGAACGCTTCCTCTCCATGTTTAGTCCTGACCCCGGGCAGCAGGAGGCCAGTCCCTGTGCTACTCAGTATGGCCACAAAGTGTTGAGAAGTCCAGGTTTATAATAAATTGCAATACAGTATTGATGTATTAAACAGTAATTAGGAATTTGATATGTTCCATGGATTTCACCAATGGATGTATCTGCACACAATGTTAAGTATCCAATAGGAGGATCCTCACCTGGAGGAGGTGAGGGACCGGAGGGTGCTAGTCAAAGCCCTCTCCATCATGGACAACACCTCCCACTGCACAGGACTGTAGAGGAGCTGAGGAGCTCCTTCAGTGGAAGACTGAGACACCCTCAGTGCAAGAAGGAGCACTACCGCAGGGCCTTTATCCCCACTGCTGTCAGACTGTACAATAAGTCACTTGCAGTAGGACAAAAAATAACACACACAACTATTGCCACTGTTTCTTTGATTGCCACTTTTTAATTGTATATAAATATATATATATATATATATATATATATATATATATATATATATATATATATATATATATATATATATATATATATGTAATATGTTTGCACATTTCTTTCTTTTGCACAATGTGACATGTACATTTCTCCTGTGTGAGATCGATAAAGTCTATCTTATCTCATCTTAATAGAGTAATCATCTTACCTGGCATGGTGGCTGAGTGGATAGCACTCTTGCCTCTCAGCAAGAAGGTCCTGGGTTCGAATCCTGGTCGGACCAGGGCCTTTCTGAGTGGAGTTTGCATGTTCTCCCCGTGTCTGCGTAGGTTTCCTCTGGGTACTCCGGTTTCCCCTACCATTAAAAATATGTACAATAGGTCTGGCATGCGGGTCCTTTGGCGACCCCACTCCCATCTCTGTGTGGAGTGAGAGGACAAGTGCCCAAAAATAACAATTGTAAACCGCTTTGTGACTCTGGTCTACGAAAGGTGGTATATAAATAAAACTTGCATACCTTTTTCAGAGTTCCTTCAAACTGTCCCATGGAGATTCGGCCTTTGACGTTTGATCCAGATGGAGACACGGTTGTGTGCAGATACGGCGTGGCTCCTCTAGAGTGCGGTGCCTGTCAACCCCCTCAAGGCTTCACATTCTCTTCAGTAAGAAACTTAACAAAAGTTGAAAAATGTGTGTGTTGTAGACAGCATTGCCACTTAAATAAATCCGCAATGGCACAGTGGTCAGTGCCATTGTGGATACTTCACTGCAAAAGGTCCTAGGTTCGATTTCATGACCAGCTGGGGCTAAGCAGACACTGTGTTCCTAGTGTCTGCTTAGGTTTTCTCTGGTTTTGCTGGTTTCCTCCACCATTAAAAATAGGTTCAATATGATTTTTCAGGGTTTGTGAATGCAAGAACAAATGATTAACCAAATATAAAATCCGGTGTCTTTAGAGCTGTTTATTCATGCACATGATCCCATTCAAGAGATAATGAAGAGGTAACACAGATTCTAAAGACCATCCCTTTTCTATCTGCTAGAAATCTGAGCAAATGTGAAATAATCACATGATGCTAAGCCTAAAAAAAAGCATCAACGGCACATGCATGTTCCCATGATGTACATGTTTTCAAGTTTTATTTCCTGCTTACAAATCTGTACTTTTATATTTTGGAAGAGTGACCAATAGAAAGCCACGTGCTGAAAGAAAGACACTCAATAAGCAGAGAAAGACACATCCAACATTCCCTGTCTTTTTGCACACCCTATTTATGCCATTTTTCCATTGTGAGTCTAAGTCTTATCTAATCTTTTCTTAGAAGCTGCTCAGGTCAGAAAATTATAGAATAACTTTTTGTCTAAATGCAAAATATGTAGCGGGAAAATAACAGTGCTCATGTAACATCATGCTGTGGGGCTTCTTCTCTTCAGGAGGGACAGGGCAGAGTCGCAGTTGATGGGAAAACACCTTCCATCAGGATATTTGTGTTGATATCACACATGAAATAGCAATAAAATATGTGAAATAGTGGAAAAGTTTAAGTATCATGTCTCAGTACATGGTTCGAACTTTGGGCTACAATTCACACTGCACCCAGTAGACAAACAACTCTACTCTGAAAACCATTTAGAGAATTCTACACATTTGTTCGTCCAAACAAAACCACGCAAAGCTGTAGTTTCAGTTTCCATTTTCCGAATGCAGAATGGTGTTGGTGCATTCTTTCTCGTCTTTGCAGTAGGCCGAGGAGGATGTTGTTGAGGAAGAGGTTCTATTGCTGGGGGCTGCATGTGTCATGTTGTAACGTTCCACTGCCCACTACTGGCCGGGCGTTAGAACTACTTTGTTTTCCGTCGTGGTGTAGACGCTGTGCACTTCGAGTAAGGAGCCTGGACAATTTAGCTAATTGCTTTGCAGCGTCTCCGCAGCCCTCCATCTAAAAGGGCCTCAGTCTCATAAAGAAAACGTAATAATTTATTGTTTCAGTTACAACCGTTTGTGTGTTTTCAGAACTGCACGATGTCATTTGATGCAGCAAACAGCGCAGTAGGGGGTTCTATGCAGTGGAGCTGATGATGGAGGATCATGTTAAAAAAAACATTTCATTTGAGAGCCTTGGTGTAAAAGAAGAGAAGAACTCCAGTGACTACATCAGCGTAGTGCCTTTCCAATTCGCTTTCGAGGGTAAGACACCCCAACAAGTCATCAGCAGACCTAGGCAAAGAGCGGTCCAGGAGCCCCAGACGGCCCGTTTCACATTTCGAACCTCTTCTATTTCAAACAGTCTCTCACCCGATTTAAATGAATGGGAAATTGTGACAGATCTTGCAACAGATTTACCATCGTCCAAGTGACTGTACAGAGAGTTCAGAGCAAAGGAGATTGCATCCTCAATGCTCCTATTCTGTCTGTTAGAAAACACTCACAGGGTTTTGGCCCCAAGCTTTTACTTTTCAAGTTGGGCCCCAACCAAAATTAGTTTTTTTTATTTAATAGCATTCATTTTTAAATATGTTGAAAAAAGATCACTCGAAAGCTGAATGCCCCTTGCTTTTTTGTGACGAGTGAACAGTTATTACTAATGATGGTTGAAAAAGAATGTTGTTTCTTTCAGTGTTGCCGTCTATAAAGTCCTGCGCTGAAGGAGTTATCTTGCCGCGGTTTGTCGAACCAACTCCCAAACACGGGGCAGTGATCAAGATCGATATCTCTTCAAGTGTTCAATTGTTCAGCGTTAAGGCGACAGCATCAGAAGCCACGTAAGACACAATATGAAGAGTTACCAAGAAGAGAGAACAAGTCTCCTTATACTGCAGCTGCAACACACATGAAAAGCATCACTAACAACCTCATAAAAGGGCAACATTATTTAGAAAAATAGAGATAGCTCATCTCCAAAAGGATCATAGCACTAATAAGTGTAAGTCTGGGATTACCTGTTTAGCTTCAGAGTTACCCAAACTTTCTTAACAATGTCCAGAGTTTTTTTGAAAAGTCCTTCTTGAAAGTGCCTTCGATAAATCCTACAACCAAGTCAATTTCTTCTCGTTCAGCCATTGTGGGTTGTAAATCAACAAGACAGTTTGCGTGTTCTAGCTAGCGCGCTCTCTGACTATCCAATCAAAGAGTGAGCGGTACGCCATGGATGTATTATATTAACTGGATAGGGTATTACTAGCTTGTAGCTGAATAACTCATGTGCTCAGGGGATTCTCGCGGTACTGCAGACTGAACCAGACTAAATTCACGTGGGCTACCCAGAAATTTTCCCCATAGGACTCAATGCATATTAAAACAGCTCGACCTCAGCTGACAGAGAACCTACAGCTTTCATAAAGGTCGGATTTTGTGGGGATTTTAGTGTCCCTTGTCATCCTGAACTTTTTTTCTTCTTAAATCCTTCGGTTTTGTTTAAATCCACACTTTAGTGCCACAAACTCTGCTCGTCTAACAGGCGAGTTTCCCATAGATCTTTGCGAGTTTCAGGCAACTTCCGCTAATCATACAGCCCCCATGCCATTTTCCACAAAGCGCCCACTGAAGCACAACCATTCAATTTTGAATATGGCGCCATCTTGATTCGCCGGGGCTTGGCGTACGCTGACGTTAAAATCTGAATGGTTAAAGCTACATTCGATCTACACTTAATTTTATTCAACAGAACGGATTCTGAAGCCTCCAGGCAAAAACTCTGACCAAGCAATAAATTATTGGCTGACCTATGAATGGATGAATGCAGTTATATGAATATATCAATCAATCATGTTTTTATTACGAACTCGTAGTCAAACAATACAAAGATTGAAGCCAGCACAACCAGGGAAAGCACTGAAGGAGGTGAATAGACATTTTGGAGATATTTATATATATGGAGAATTTATTAAAGGAAAAAATACTAAATGTAAAATAATGAATAAATTCCAATCAGTAATAAGAAAAACAATATATCTTAGGCCTACAGAGAAGGCCTGCAGGTCCCGACAGCCCCCCACAATGGGATAATGAATTGTAGACCTTATGAAAACACCTAAAAATAGATGAACAACACCTGCCAAGAGTTTTGCAGACCTTGAAATAATGCAAATAAAGACAATTAAATACTGTAAAAGGAATAAAAACGAAAAGAAAAAGAAAACACCTGAAAAAATTCGTAAACTCAACTGAAACTTTTTTTGGAACCCTTTGGAGAACAAGCAACTGACATAACTAATTACTAAACTGTGGGCTTAAGGGTTTAGTCTAATTATAGGAGGCAACAATCCCTAAACAGAGATCA